AGATCTTTCGATCGCGGGGCAAGTTTCTAGTGCTGAAAATGCAAATAGCTCGTGAATTTTCGGACAACCCGTGAAGCAGGATTCGCGGGCGTGAGCTTGAAAAGCTGAAAATGGTTGGCGCTCGCGAATTTTGGGCAGCTCGCAAGCCTGGTTTCGCGGCTTGCGGAATTTGTCCCGGTGACCATTTTTGTTCTTTCTACAAAGTAAGTACTAATTCATCAGGAACTGGTACTAAATAGAAGAAGGAGTGGTATTATTTCTTGAAAAACTGGTACCATTTTTTGAAATTCATTTTTTTATGCTCGTCGGAGTTGGTTGAAAAATATCAATTAATATAGATATAACTATTAATTAATATACTAAACAAATTGTTCACGCGTGATTTGGTCATAAAAACGTTGTAAAACTGGTACTATTTTACAAAAATCATTTTTATTTTTTTAATGTTCGCTGAAGTTGGTACTGAAGACCCGATATATGGTAGTAGAACACCATAATATCGATACTATCTTACTCTAGGTCTGGTACTAATTTTGCAAATGTTGACCACAATTGAAGTAATCTATTTTTTGTTTATATACAAAGTAGGTACTAATCCATCAAGAACTGTAACTACATAGAAGAAGACGTGGTACTATTATCAGTAGAACTGGTACTACTCTGATGAAAACAAGTATCATTAAAGAACTTGCCCATTTTTTTTTTTCCTTTTTACAAAGTAGGTACTCAACTCTGGAAAAATGAGTACTAATATCCTATAATATTAGTACTTATGTAAGGAAAAACTGGTACCAATTTAAAAACAAACAAAAATTATATTATTTGTTCCCTTTCATCCATAAACCATATTCCAAAACCATCTTCCAGACAGTCTACACCTAATGTTCAAAAACAAGCCAAACATCCACATTCATAACACCTATTGTTCAAAAACAAGCCAAAAATCTACAATAAGACATATTGTTCACAACATAAGCCAAACAGTATCAACATGAATGATTTATGAGGATGCGTGTTGTCATGCCCTCGGCCTATTTTGCAAATGATCCCAATATGCACCTAATGTATCTGTAAGCATTATGATTATAGTATGTCATTTTACAAAGTGAAATTGATCTTAGGCCAATTCATTTGTCTGGAGCTGAGGAAGATAATTATACCATGATTGATTCACCTGATTCTAACATGAAGATTCTCCAGCCAATAGAGGGTGGCATCTGTTTCTACTGAGCACTGAACTTTTCTCTACCCTTCATAAATTATTTTCTTATTTTATTTATTTTTTGACAATGTAGATTGCAGTTATTCAATGGACAATAGCTTGGTGATCAATATTACTGTCTAAGAAATATTCAGTCATATGAACAAATAAACTTCTCATACATGACCATCAACTCAAAGGAATGGAACATGCAACACACCACAAGAAAAGCACAAAGATATAACAAAGTTTTCAAGAGTGGCTACAACCACTACTGTTATACAAAAAGTGATTCAATGTTCTAATCAGAAGTAAGAGATTAGCTTACAAGTAGAAGAAATACCATTAAAAACAATATAGTAATAATTAGAAAACTAAACACCAATATCAGAATTATGATATGAGTAATTACAATAAAAAGAATGCATTTCTGAATTATGATAAAACTTGAAGATATGTGATGCAGCACGTGGTAGATAAAAGGGAGAATTTTTCTTGAAGAACTCAAGAAACCAGAAGAATATAGATCTTTATTATCAATAACTGCGTAGTTTTTGATAGGAGTACAATATATAGGGGAAACCCCAAGGCTCCTAATTATTATTCCTATTATTTATCTTGTTAGGCAAGACAAATAATAATCCTAAATAACATGCAATAAAGATAAGCATAATATAAACTAGGAAATAAATAATAAATAGATAACTAAATATGAAGTCTCTCGTATTTTTCCATATAAGCAAATGCGGCTTCATCTGCATCATTCCCCCCCGGTTGGGAAGGATTCGCCCTCGAATCCGAGGGGGCTTTATCTGCATCATCATTATCACAGGTATAAGAGAGGAGGTGCTTCACATTAAACACGTCAGACGTCCGAATGTGACTGGGGAGACGAAGACGGTAAGCGTTGGGGTTAATCTTCCCAACAATCTCCAAAGGGCCAATCTTCCGGGCGGACAGCTTGTTGTACTCGTGAGCAGGAAACCTGTCCTTCGTTAAAACGGCCCACACAAAGGCGCCAACCTCGAACTCCACCTCCCGCCGCTTGTAAGCAGCAGCGGACTCCTCCAATCGCGCACGCGCGGCCGCATGGCCCACCTGCAAGTCGGCAATGACGTCAGCGCACGACTCTTCGCCGTGGGCCCGGAAGAAGTAGATAACAAGTCGGTCAGGCCGCGCGGAAGCAAAACCACCTGAAAGGGCGAGAAACCTGAGGACCGACTAAGCGCCGAATTTTGGGCAAACTCGGCCTGAGGAAGCCGCTGATCCCAAGTCCGGAGGTTGTCGCCCACTAAGCACCGAAGCAACTTACCCAACGAACGATTGACAACCTCGGTTTGGCCATCAGTCTGAGGGTGGTAAGCGCTGCTAAAATCCAAACGATTATTAGCCATGCGCCACAGGCTACGCCAAAAATGGCTCAGGAAACGGGTATCACGATCCGAGACAATAGAAGACGGCAGCCCATGCAAACGATAAATTTCCCGGAAAAAGAGCTGGGCCACATGCACCGCGTCCGTCGTCCGCTTACACGGAATGAAGTGCACCATCTTCGAGAACCGGTCAACCACCACAAAAATCGAATCAAAACCCCTCTGGGTGCGAGGAAGACCCAAGACAAAGTCTATGCTAATAGCCACCCATGGCTGGGACGGGATCGGCAATGGACGGTAAAGTCCCGCATTAGTCGCCACGCCCTTGGACACCTGGAAAATCCGACAACGACTAACAAAACGAGCAATATCGCGCCGAAGACTCGGCCAAAAGTAAGAGCGGCTCACCAAGTCAATAGTGCGGTCTCTGCCCACGTGACCGAAGCCATGCAGATCGGCGACTATCTTGAGGCGCAAGCTGCAATGCGGGACGCAAAGACAGGTCCCACGAAACAAAAAGCCATCGGTGATCACGTAATCCTCAAAAACGCCGTCGGCCAGTCGCAAGAAAATCGGCCCAAAGAAGACGTCACCCGCATAAGCCTCACGCAACACGTCGAAACTAACGACAGAGACGCGCAAATCAGTCAACAACGGATGTGGAACGACGAGCAGGAGGGCAAGCTTTCCGGAGATATGGCCGACGACGGTAGGGGAATAAACGAAGAGACGAACGGAATTTTCAGAGAGGCCATGAAATTTTCAGGGAGAGACGATCGACTGATTTTGAGAGAGAGAGAGAAGCAGAGACGCAGAAGAAGAGAGAGAAAGAGCATAAAAAACTGAAATTGATATTTTATGAAAATCAAGTAAAATAAATGAATAATAATAATATAGGTATATATATGGGGAGTTGAGAGGAAAGAGACAAATGAGTTAGGGAATGCAGAGTAAAAAAATTAGAGGAGGCACTGACAAGGAAATGAATTATGGCATTAGGGATTTACGAGGAATTTTCCGTTATTTCAATCCATGTTTAAATATTGATATCTAGCATGATCAAGTCTTGGAGATAGACACGTGTTGCTAACTAATGTCATTATTTTACCACCTGTTTAACAATGGGGACATGTGTCTTTAAGTAATTGAAAGAGATAAATTATTGTCTCCCTTTATAGCTAAGCATCAGATTAATGAAAGGGATGGTTCTCCATTATATTTACAAAGTTCCATCCTTTACATTAGATTTAAAAAAAAAAAAAA